AGTAGACTTAGCGGTTTACTTCGGTTTCGTAAAATAAGAAAAAAAGATTAAGATTTCTTTGCTGCTTTCACCAGTTCCCAATAAAGTGGGTACTTCTCTTTGTTTATGTGGAATTGACAATAAAAGCTTATAAACTAATTGTTATTTGGCTTCTACAAGTTTTTTCGAAGCCACAGTCAAAATTTTTCAGTGTGGTGGTAATACCGCTGCTCATTTGGCAGCTTACCGCAGAGATTTAACAAGCTTGGTTCATCTTTACCGATACGATCCCAAAGTTATTCATGACGTTGATATTGGTGGATATACCCCGTTCCGAATCTTATATCAGGAGTTCCTGCGTTTAGCATTCAATGGCCATCAGTTTAATAGAGATTATCCCGGTTCTCTGTTGACAATGTTTCTTTTTCTGTTCTACTTCTTTTTAGTGGTGGCTTCTCTCTTACGTTTTGCCATTTTGGACAATGTGCAAATTTAATAGGTCATGTTTACGCATATGGCGAAAATCCAGTTGCGAATCTCGGTGTTGGGTCTGCAAAAATTGTCGCTTACCCATCATTAGTAGAGTTGCCGAGGGAATTGAATCAAATTGATCAAGTTAGTTACAAACATTTATATTTAGGCTTTCCTCTACTAAACAGCTAATTTAAAATAAATGTTTTATTGAAGATTTCTCTTGGCCGTTTCCATTCCTTATTTCTTATGGATGGTAAAGTTTTTACCTGTGGATCAGGCAGAGATGCAAGGCTTGGACTTGGAGTTGAACATGACGTAGCTCTTCCTCAACTTGTAACATTTCCAGAGCGTATAATTTGTGTTGCTGCTGGACTTTCCCATTCTGTTGCTTGTAGTGCAAGAAAGGTGATTTTTTATTACTCTTTATCATTTTTTGCTAAGATTATTAAAAAATTTTTGGGTTACAGATTTATACCTTTGGTAACAATGCAAAGTCACAATTAGGAATACCCAAGAAAGATTCTTCACTGGCGCCTGCTGTAGCATATAAATTGAAATATTCAGATGACGTATTTCGAAGATGTGTCGCATGTGATTCGTATTCTGCAGCTTTTACTGAACAAGTTCGTCATTTAATTCTTTGCTAAAGCGTTCTTCAATTCAACTTTTTCTTTTGAAGGGTCGATGGTATATTGCTGGGTCTAATATACCTTTTCATGGCGAGACGGTAACTCAGTTTGCATATTACCCTGAATTGCATCATCGAGATGCCGTAATGAATGAACTCGCACTAGTTTTTGGAGCCTGGGGCTGTTCACCAAAAGTAGGTTCTGTTTCAAAAATTTGTTTTAACTTTTTATCTTTTTACTAAATTTTTACTTTTTATTATCTCACAGGTTTCTGTTTGTGCTAAAGCGAATCTTATCGACTCGCACATCTTTCATTGCGGCTCGCCCTGTTTACGTTGCTTAGGCATCTTTGAACATTCAGGCGTGGTAACGATTCTGTATCAGTCGTTTTTAAATTTCAGCTTAAGCATTATTCGAATCTACATCTCTTTCCTTCTTCTGCTGCAAAGTCAGATTTTAGTGCGTACTGGTGGAATGTGCCCCTCGAATTACACCTGGCAAACTTTCAAAGGATGTACCTGTGTACCTCCTTCTATGTGAGAACCAGCAGCTGTCGGTTTCTCAGAAACTAGATGTCGAATTCTTAGATTCTGTTAATCAACGATCGTTGAAAATACGACAGGCTGCAATTGCTAAAAATGGAGGATTTTTAATGACTGATGAGGTGCGAAATATTTCTTCTTGAGCTGCATTAAAATTAATTCATTAAGTTAAATTTGCGTTTTTATGACATAATGTTTCCAAAGTACAAAATAAATTTACCACTTAATTTTGTCGTCAGAAAAATTTTTTTTTTTTTTTTGACGGTTTGCTCCTTAACAGGTTGGATTAGTGTATGAAAGTGATTTATCCGATGCTTGGCGCAAATCTTCGGCTAGCAACTTGAAAGAAAGTAATTTTCTGTTGCTAATTTTTTTGAGGAAGATGTTCATTTTTGTTACCTTAAGTTTTTGAAATTTGTCTTCTTTAGGTAAACTGACTGTGGTTGTCAATAGGGTGACTGGTATAGCTCCTGCTAAAGACGTGTATATATCTCCTGATGGAAAGAATAAAGCACTCGTGCTTTGTGACTTAATGCTCAAAGATTTTGACTGGATTGAGTTTTGCTGCCTTCCCAAGGTAAGCATGAGCTGCAAAAACTAGACCTCATATATAAAATTATTCAATGTTTTTTACTGGCAAACTTATTTGCAATTATCAATTTATCGCCTTCATGAATTAAAGAGTAGTATTTTTGGTTTCCGAGCCAGCAAAAAATGTAAAAGCGATCTGTATCAAAGATGATATGACAGAAGTGGCAACTTTTGATACCTGCAAGTATGTTCAAATTGTAATTTCTTCTAGATTTTTTACAGTTATTCACAGTTTCTATTATTTTATGAAGCAATTAGCACATTTTTTATATTTTTTAACGAGAAATAATTTATTAAATTAATCTGATTCTTTTTTACCCGTTTCAAATTGGTGGCGGGAGTGCTGTCTGACTTCAGTAAAATTTCAAATGCCATTGTTTTTTCTTTTTGGCTGTAGCGCGCTTTCCACTCTGCTATTCCAATTTTTTTCTCTCTTCAGGAACTTTTTGGTTAAGGAGAGCATTTACTGTGACGTTTTTTTTTCTCGTTGGAGCGCCTCTAGCAAGAAAGCGAAATTGACTGTACGCTTCTTTGGTAGCTCGTTTGCAGTCGATCAGTTTGTCCTCTTTTGTGCTACTCATCAGATTTCAAGTGGTTTGACGAGTAATCAGGTAAATTTTACTGTTCTTTTTAGTTTATAACCTGAAACTGTTAAACCGTTTGTGCTTTATTTTTTTTTCCTCCTTTGATATATAAAATTCCTTTCAGTTGTTTGAGTTACTTCTGTTTGCTGATGCGTATTGCTGCGACAATTTTTTTGATTATGTCGTTGACCAGTACTTAACAGATCACTGTAAGTTCATGTTTTGTAGTATCATTTTTGTCGGAATTAGCTTCCTCTCCGTATTACTTAGACTATTTCAAGTTTCGTATAGCTACCGTAATTCTGACTGGAATTGTGAGGTTTAGTATCAATTGAAAGTTGTAAAAGATATTCAAGTTAAACAATTTTGCAACATTTTGCAGTTTTCCTTAGTTTTGCAAAATTTTAAAAGTTTTTTCGATAATTTGGACGTCAGGTAACTGCTGGTGAATGTTTGGAAAAATTTTTTGAAGTATAAGCGTGGTTTTGAAATTGGTGGACTTAATTTACTTCAAACTTTGCTAAAGTGGCCATCTTATTCCGCTACAATGAAGTTGCTGGTGATAGGTTTGGAATTTAGTCAGGTCATTAGGACAAAGTTTCTTGATAGGTGATGCTAGTGATACGTTTGAATTCGCAGAGGGTTTTATTAGAAAGGTTAAATAGGAGCAGCCACATTTTGCTTTGGAATACTGAGTTTATTTTGTAGTGATTACTGTTGAAATCAGTTAGGTTGGATCTTAGAATTTAGGGTATATTTTTGCTGCACATCATTGATTTCGGCTGTTAACTATCACAATGGAGTTTCTGGTTTGGTTCACACCTTATTCTGTGTAAGAGCCTTGATGTCATCTCGGCTTCTGTGAGATTTTCGATTAGGAAAGTTAGCATGTTTTTTCTGCTGTGTGTTGTTGGTGTGCTAGATTTGTTGGTAAATATGTCTTAGTCAGTAAAGTTACTCTAGAACTAAATTATAAAATTTCAATCGTTGCACGTCAGGAGTACACTCAAGGCTACACAGCTTAGAGGTGACGCTGCTCCACGTATGCAAGGATACTGCTTTTTGAAGCAATTATTAAGTTTACGGAGAAGCAGACTTGTAAAAATGTTTGTCTCCATCAGGGGGTTAAAAATCTTGACGAGTTTCAATTTTATTTCAGTTGACATTACGACTCTTCGCGATCTTTACAGTATCGCTCGGTTCACCAAACGACCGAGATTAATAAGAATCGTGAATGGCTTATGTGCTGTGTTTTTTCCGATACTTTTGGATCGCGGTTTTGTTACTGATCTGTCTGAAGAAGAAATTAGAAATATAAGCGAACTGTACAAAATTAGTAAATGCACTTCACCTAGTATAGTTCATGAAAATGACTTGAAATTTCTCTCCTCTGAACGAGATTTTATTAGTTACGAAATGGACTTAAGGAATATCTACAATAAGTTGATGGATTCCCACTCAGGATATCAAAATGAATTGAAAGAAGAGCTACTGACGTCTAACAAGAGCTTGGTGAGTTTTTGAAAAAGAAAATTGGTTTTTTGTATTAAGGTATTTATTTTAAGGTTTATTTATTATTTATTGGGTGTACTGAGTAGAGCAGTCCTCTTTTAATAACGGTAAACAATTACTTGCTAGTCTGTGCACAGTCTGGGATTTTTTAAGTCTATTTTTCGGTTTATTTTAGCTACTTCACGTTCTCTCGCGACAACGGAAGTAAAATTTGGTGAATCGTCATTGTACACAAAAAGATAACAAAATATCTTTCAGCAGAACACAAAAGTTGATGTTTGGTTGTTAAAATTGTTGGAAGAAGTACGAGGAGGTGGTGAAGATTATTTGGGAATCCTGTTCGATTTGTTCCGTAAGAGTTCTCAGAAGAATCGAGTTACAACTGCACGGAAGCACCGTCGTAGTGCACAAGAAGAGGGTTGGACTACAATGTCTTTTAGTTTCCTTATTTTACTAAATTATTCTTAATAATTGAGGAATTTTTGTCGGAGTTGTAAGTTTAACCCAGTACATTAAGAGTTCATAAGTTAAAAGTAACTGAGGAATTAAATGCAGATCACAGCCGAAACAGCCGGAATCTGTTGTATTGGCATTACTGGCATTGGTCCAGAGTTATTAAGTTATTTCTTTTTCTTTCTTGTGTTAATTGAGTCCTGAGCGCATCTTACTTACCACTTTCAGCAGTTAGTGACATATCGAGGCGTTCCATTAGTGAAGTAGTCAAGGAGCCAGAGAGAAATTCAATCACTGAAACAGAGGTTACCGTTGGTGACTCATTTTTAAAAGAGAGCTCAAGCGTTGTAACGGAAGCTTCAGGCCTTAGTAACGAGCAAAAAAGTTTATTGAAAGAGGTTTATCTGGCAAATTTTTTATAATTTTTATTTAATTAGTGGATTTCTAAAGTAGTGATAATCACTTCAAACTTAGCTCTCTTTATTCCAAATATAATTGCTAAATTTTTAGTTTACAAACACTGTAACGCTCACGCCGTCTCGTTCTTTGTGAGTTTTTTCGTTGCTAGTCGTTTTGCAACCTTCAGAAGTCACATTTATCTTTGCAATTTCTGCTTGAGAAGAGGAGTAGAGTTTTCAGCCAAAAAAATTTTTTTTGCTTCTCAACGTATCCTGAGATGCTTTGATTGCTTAGGAGCAGTAACTTCTGCGAAAAGTCAACAGTTAAGAACCATCTGAGTTCTCCATTTGCTGACGATGAAAACGATTCCAATAGTGGGTTTGTAAAGTTACCTTCATCTGGAGATTTCCCGCGGAAGATGAAAGGCTGGAATATTGTGGTTTGTTCATTTTTTTATTTTCCTTTTTTTTTTCAAAAGTTAAAATTGTATTTCTTTTATTTACGGTGCAAGAAAAGTTGCAGTACGCTTTTGGAGAAAATGAGTAAACTACTTTTTAGGAAGACAAGCAGGCACAGTCAGAGCCGCAGTCTTTTCGTGATATTTTAAAAAGCGAGGCTGCAAAGCGAGACCTTGAGAGATTACCGGGTATTGAGCAAGTTGGCTTCAAAAAGCCAATAAGGTATATTTTTTCTATGTTTTCAAACTGTATGGTTTTAAAAACTGAACTGCTTTTTTAGTTGGATCTGCTTCCAATTAAATAAGCATCATTTTTTTTGGTTCTCTACATAGTCGCTCTTTCTTTTGTATGGGTCGTTTAAGGCCAAGGTTTATCAATGCTGCAAAATATTGCAGTGGCAAAAATGATGAAAGTTTCTTTATAATCTTTTTGAAAATCCCTAATTAAATTTTTTTGAGTTTTTTCTCAACTTGTTATTTCAAATTGTTATCACTTTGAGAAGGGTTTGTAGTTTAAAAAAAAAGTTCTTTGACTGATAAAATTAAATGCTGAAAGATTATTGAAATTTCAAAATTCTGGCACATTTTTTTTGTTTCAAGTCGTTTCTGCTCTAGTATTAATGTCATTATCTTCTTGAAAAAATGTTTCAGTGTAAGTTTTCTTAACTTCATATATTAAGAAAATGCTGGCTAAAAAGATGTATTAAGTGAATACCTTTCACAATGCAGTTTTATTTCCGTTTATTCGGAGCTCAAATTTTAATGAAGTTGATTGAAATGCCTCGTTTTTTGCATCTATTTTGAAGTCTTACTTTATAATTAAGGAAGGACGGAAATCGTCAATCTGGTTTAAGCTCGACTGTACTCTCAGAAGTTCTGCCGGAGTCAAAATCCGCGTGGTGCAAGGTTTTCCTATGAATTTTGTAATAAAACTCGTCTATTTATAATTGTTGTAAAAAGTTTTAGGAGTTCTGCTTTGCCGCTTATTCAGTTTTTGAAAGCGCAAATGAGTTCTTTATCATGTTATTTTACAATAAATTTTTTTTAGATAGCTACTGTTGGAAACGAGGCGTCTCCATCTTTTCAGGAAATCTTGAACGATGAAGTTGCACAGCAAAGCGAGTCTAAGAGGGTTACGAGTACTCATGTTTTAGATATTGAAATGTTTGTTATTTTTTAATCTAATTCTTTTCTTTTTTATTCTTAATTTATATCATAGTTCTCAAGGTTCTCAAGCTTTATGTTGAAAGCTGATTTGTATTAATTATTAGGTTTTTAAACTTATGTTTTGTTGGATATCAAGAGTACTACAATTTACACAGGAAAGGATAAGCGTTTTTGATTCTGAAAAGTAGAAGCTCACTTATTTAGAAGAATATAGCTTTAAAATCTTACTAAACATTATCGCAATCTCTATTTGATTTTACTGTGTGTATTAAAAGAACAGCATTTATTCTCCCGTATTTTTTTAATCTTAACAGACGTGTTTTTTTAGAAAAGCAGGTTATTGTGGGAGAGATAAGTTTGATCGTATATGTCAAATTAATACCAGCTTTTATAACTGTTTTATTGTCTTCAGGGAAGAGCACGCAATTAGTGAATTAGTTATGCTGTATGAGGCGGATGCAGCCCGCAATGGATTTGCAGCTACTATCTCAGTTGAACGTCTTCACGCTTCTCGAAGCAATCCCCTGTGGTCTGCTCGTAGCTGATTAGCAACCTTAGCTTGACTGTTTAAGTGAAATACGCAAATAGGAAAAGTTTTTATCAGTATGCTAGACTTTACAGTCTAAATTTAATGATTTAGAAGAATATGCTTGTAAGGTAATTTTCGAGGAACTAAACGAGTTGGAGTGAAAAATGTTTTTGTCTGTTTATTAGAAATGTTATTATTCAAAAATTGATTAATTTAGATTCAGTAGATATGGTTTAAAATTTCAAGAGAGCGAACAGCTTCTGAACGATTTCAGCTCTGTACATAGAAGCACTGTCTTATTTTGTGCCTTTTTTATTGCTTTTTTTCCTGTTGTTCAGTAATATACTTGTTGTACTTTCTTACTGGTTCAAGTGCATCTTTGTATTTCATTCGCTTTATTTTATCTTTTTCTTCCGATATGTGGTCTACCTCCTTTTTTATTTTGGTGTAACATATGCCTAACAGGTCTTTTTTTAATGTTGTTTTACTGCTCTGTGGAAGTCTATACTGTACATAATTTTTAAAAATTACTTGTTTCCTCTATTGCTGTGAATTTTTTAAACGGGTATTGTTTAATCTTTTCGGGATTAGGAGGAGTAGGTGCTGAGGCAGTGATATCACTTCCCATGGTTTTATTGAAGCTTGGCTTCTGTTGCTACCATTGTTTTGTTCTTTGAGTTTCTTCTTTTCGTTATTTTCAGTAAAACTTTGTGGAATAAAACTGATTAGGTTGTTCTTTTGAATATTTATCTTTTACGGATTGTATTTTTTCTAATGTTTGATGAAAAAGTTGGTTTTTTGCATCTCGCAGTAATTTGTTATAAAGTGAAAAAAATCTTTTGTAGAAACTGCTAATATAATTACAGTATACGGGATTTGTTGATGGAAACTAATTTTTTATAATTTTTTGTCTTTTTATTCTGTTAACTTATTTTTTTTCTTCTGTTGAGTTGTATATTTTTTTCTTTGAGTTTCTTCTAATCATTGGTTGGCGCTTTCTGCAATTTATGAGCAATGCCATGTGAAACCGCTGTATTTGACAGTTTCAAATTAGCACCTGGCATGACTTTAAGAATGAGAAAAAAATTATACTTGGAATTCATAACATATCGGACTGTTTGAAAGTGTTTTGATGTATTCGCCGTAGGCCATATGAACAAGTAGCGATTGCAAACTTCTGTTCACTGATAAGTGGCAGCATCACCGTTTTATTTTTATTTATTTTTTTGTATTGGAGAGGAAGTATTGCAAGACTATGGTCACATAAATTTTTGCCTCTTTATCTTTTCCAAACGATGGTTAGTAAGGAGAGAAAAACTCTAATTTGTTCTTATGAAGAATTGTTTGGTTGGAATTTTATTTAGGAAAAATTCGAAAAAGGGGAAAACAAGATTTAAGGCCGGTGGAAATGCACAATACATTATATGTTGTTCCGTTGATTCCGAAAAGTGGAAACAACCTTTTCTACCGTCATTGATTTTATCTTGACATTTTGCTGTTTGTTTTATATACTTCCATAGTTGTTGTCCTGGGCTTCAGGTTTTGATTTGCGCAATTTTGGTGAGATGAGAAGTCGAATTTGATTTATGTTAGTTTCAACTGCGGCACTAAAACGTTACAAGATTTGTTGCAACAAAAATTTCTACTAAATGATAGTATTTTACGGGTAAAGGGATAGGTTGGGTGGATGTCTTATCAACTTTTAACATTGACTGATTGGTAGCTGGTGCAGTTGGAAGATTGAATGCATCACTACTCTTGTTCAGTAGTTTTTTTTTTTCATAGATTGCGATATAGTATTTACTTTTTAAAGTACCCTACTACTTTACAGTATTTTTGTGAAACATTACTACCAAACAAGTAGTTAAGCAGTCAGTTGAAATACATTTATACCTGAATTAGTTGTTGACATTTTTTACAATTAAAGCTGCAGTTATTTAGCTGATTTTCAGTAGGGTAGAATAATTTTTCTTAATCTTTTCTGGCTTTAAAATTAAATTTATTTCGTCTGACTAATCAAGAAAGGTTGTTCTTGTTGTTATCATTCTTACTGACATCGGTAGTTGCAAAACTGTGGACTGTGAAATACTTGAACTGTAATTCTGGGGATGTCAAATTAGGCATATCAAATGTGTTGTTGAAGTGGTTTCTGCAACAAAAAAGGGAAGAAAATTTGGCGACACTGATACGTTGATCGTTTGTCCTGTTTCTTTGAAGGTATCAAATGTAAAATACAGCTAGATATAAGACTAATTACTGGTCGTATCAGAATAAACTTCACTGATCTGTTTTGCAAAATTAGCGCCACCCAGAAATATATAGAAAAAAATAGTTTACACTTATTGTATGCTAGTTTTTGATGTTTCAAGTGAAATTAAATCGATGTAAAAATTCTTGGTTTTACAGATTTTTTTCTTTTGGTTAATGAAAAGATCATTCAATTGGTTGGACAGCAACAAATTCTGGATTATTTAATTTTATCAGCTTTTGACATTTACATTCAACACTATTTTTAAACTTACAATTTAAATGTTCAAAGCAGCAATACTTCACAAAAAGCTTCTATAAAATCGGAATTGTCCGTCGTTAGTATGTTTGATTAATCGGATAGTTAACTAATGAAAAAAAAGTAGACGTAGAAGATACTTTATAGGATACTGATCGTTTGGACTTTAGTTCTTCTCTGTCTATCTTTCTGAGGCTGGAATTTTTGAATGGAAGTTCAAATTTTAGATGTTGAGTGCTAAAGATTCAAAATCTATTCCGTATTTGCTTATTGTTTTAAGAGTGCGAAGTGCTAAGAATAGTGACTACTTTTGTTTTCCTTTGATTTTCGAATCTTATCATCAATAAAGTCGGTACAGTGGTTCAGTTCTATATACTGCAATTTTACGAAAATGTGTAAAGTTTGGTATCGGAAAAAATCAAATAATATAGCTGGAAAAAGAAACCGTGGGACAACGTTAAAAATTTGAAATTTATGGTTTTCATCAGTGTTGTTGCAGTTTTTTGTGAGATTAATATAAAAAAATGGTATTTTTTACCCATTTATCAAATGATTACAGCAGGAAAAAAAAAAGAAAAAATTTCAACAAGTGCCACTTTTCTTTTTAAAAATTGGTTTTTTTTGGGTTTCCTTATTTGTCTTAATGAGCAAAATGCAAACCTTGTAGAAGAAAAGAAAGTTGTTAAAAATGATGAAAAGAAAGGGGATAAGACGACGAAACGAAATGGTTGGTTAAATTCTTTTTATTTTTATTTCTACAACTATTTTTCTTACAAAATTTCTTTGTTTACTTTCCATCGTTATTGTTGATGGTTTTTTTACCATGGTGTTTATTGTACAACGTTTTATTAGCTGAAGTTTCGAAGGACTATATGTTTGCTTGGGTGATCCTAAATAATATCCGAGAAGACGAAAAGGTGAGAAGATGTAGAAGAAGAAGACGAAAAAGAAGAAGAAGAGAAAGAAAACATCAAAAAAACCAGATATATCTATAAATCAGAATAATAAATAGTTTTTATTTGTACGTATAAACAACGTTCA